AAAAAAAAAAAAAAAAAAAAAATAGATCCACAGTATCTGCGAAATTTTAATATCATAAAAATTAACCTTGTAGAGCCAGTAAGACCACCAGACATAAGCAGACCCTTCCAAGAACCTACAAGGTCCTTCCTGATATTCACTAACTGAAAGTGAAACTGAGCTACCATAAACAAGGTACCTTTGACCACACTTCAAAGTAATTTAGAAACCCCATCTCAGTGTGGTTAAATAACAAACCCATTTCTAAACAAGTCTGGCAGAATAAGAAAACAAAAGTTAACTCTTTTTACTCTCCTAGATACTCTAAGATAGCTCCTTTTGAAAGGAGACAAACAGCAGCATCATGGAAATCTCAAAACAGCTTTGGTATATAGGCTACAATTAAAAGTCTTTAACTTCTTTGAAGCAAAGATCACACAGCTTTTTACTAGCATTATATTTATACACCGCAAGGAGTACCTACCATCTTTTTGTCCCCAAAACATGACACACAAGAATAAAATTCTGTCCAAGGTCACAGAGCAGGTAATGGCAGTTTGATTCCCAACCATTTAGATGAGACCCTTCGATGCATGCAACCATTCATGGGATGTACTGACAGCAACAACCAGACTTTTAAAAGGCAGAATGGCACATAGAGTTTTCACTGAATGCTTCAGATAGCAAAATCTTGTGGTATTATGTCCAGATATTGCAGATATTACATATTTTAACTCATTGACCTTTAGAATTCAACATACATGGTGCATTAAAAAGACTGTCATCAAGAACTCAAGATCAAAGGGATTAGGAAACACACTTGCTCCTACCGTACCAACCTCTGAGCATTCTTATTCTCAGTGCCTCATTGATTCTCTGTACAAAGAAAGCGTCTGTCCACCCCTCACCCCGCCCAAGGCGGCAGGGTAAGAACCAGAGTGTCTCCCAATAGCTTGGCACAGAACAGATAGTGCCCAGGGTGCTCCCAGAGCTCTGCCAGTGAGCTGTCCTTTTTTCCAAGTCAGCTCAATCCCAACTTTCAGCAGTGGTTGTCAGGAAGAACACGCCTTCCCCTGCAATGATGCTAAGTCTGCCCCTAGCCAGATGGACACACCCCTCCGAAGCGCTGCCCCCTCAGAATATTTTCATTCCCTCTTTTGCCAAATATCCCTCCCCACTCTCCTTAAGAGATACCCTCCAACCTCTGGGCAGAGGGGCATTCACCTAACAAAAAACTGCCTCTCCCTGTCTCCAGACTTGATGGACAGCTCCCTTCCCCTCACCGACTGCTCAGCCCCCACCTCAAGCCCTAGGGCAGGGGTGGGGTGTTGGTGCCTTCAGCCCACTTGTCAGGGCTTGCCTGATGGTTACCGGTTACCACCCCGCCGCAGTTGCCGCCTTCCTCTCCCCCTCACAGGCATCCCTCACCTCCTCTCTTCTTGGGACACACACACACACACACACACACGCACGCAGCGCCGAGGGCTGCCTCTCGCACCTGGCCCCACGCGGGGTCCCCGCAGCCCCCCGCCACGCCCCTCCGCTGCAGCCCGTCGCCCCGGCGGCCACGCCCCCGCGCTCACCCGCAGTCCGGGGCCGGGCACCAGCGGCAGTCGGGGTCCGAGGCCAGGTAGCGGCGCAGCATGAACTCCTCGTACTTGTGCATGAGCGGCGGGTCGGCGAGCAGCAGGCGGATGTCGTGCGGGTTGAGTCGCTCGCTGCACTCCGGGCAGCTGATGGGCACCCGGCTCTCGCTGATCTCCAGGCGCAGGTAGTGGCGGAGACAGTCCCGGCACGAGCGGTGCGGACAGCTGAGGAGGCGCGGGGCCCGCTCGGGCGGCAGCCGCATCAGGCACAACGGGCATTCCACCTCCTCCGCGCCCGGGCCACCGCCCTCCGCCGCCTCCTCATCGTCGAGCCC